TCTACTTGATTGTTTGTCTGGTGTTAATCCCTGCTTCAAATTCAAATTTAATAAATCCATTATAATGAATAAACTTTGGGAATATTATTTCCTAAAGCTTTATTTCATTGTGTAAACTTTTGATGGAAAATTATAGGCTGAATTAAATGACAGTATAGCTATTGTTACTCATCTTGCTTCTCAAACAATAAAATGTTTCAGCAGCAATGGATTCCCTCTTTGTACAAGAATGCACTGAAAACCTATACTGTAGTGGCTACTATGTTTGCTTAAAAACTAACAGTAAGGCATAGCTGAGACAAACATTCATTTGACAAACAGCATAGTTGCATCAGATCTCCCAAAGAGACCAATTGCCTCTCAGGGGTATTTCATTTCAACCAAATTAGAGCTTCATCTTATGCTTTCTTAATTCAAACTGCTAAGTAATTCCACAAAATGTGAAGTTCTTCAGGTTGGACAAAATTATTTTCTTCTACAGATAGAATTGTCTTGAACAGTTAATTGAAGTATTTTCCAGGCACATAAAATAGCTGCTCTGAGTCAAGGACTTCTCTGTAAATTTATGAAGGTAAGTATTACAACCATTCTAGGAAACACAAGAGAACCTCACAACAAAATTGTTACCACAAAATTTTTGGCAGTTAATGTACGTACATATGCATTAACTTGATATGTATGTATGAAGAATATCTTCTGTCCTCCATAATTCCACAGTGATTTCTCTCTTCAGAGTATTTGTCCAAATATTCTATTCTAAGGTTAATCAACTCTACCTATTTAGAGAGGAAGTTTGGTTCTAAAAAGGTACCAAATGCTTCTCAGGAAAAGCAACATTTGATGGCACATTTATAGGACCCCTCCCTAACATGTGAAGGCCTCCTGGCTCTTAACACCGCTAGCAGAAGCATGGGCAATCCAGCCATTCTACAACTGTTTAGAAATAGATAGGCCTTGCAAATTGTGGGAAATGTTGGCATAGCTCAGTTTTAGTTTAGTGTGTTAAGGATGACTTTTTTTTCAGGTATTTAGGTATGAAGTTCATGAATAATCATGAGTCAATTGCTATGACAAAGTTCCTACAATATGCTGAGCCAAAGTATTGTTTGTCTGTTTATGGTTTAATATATTTTGTGATCTCAGATTTTTATTCTACAAACCATGGTGAAACAAACCAAGGCTTAATACTATATTTGAACATGGCCATTTTTTAAACCAGACATACTCTTACATTTTTGTCAAGATAAAATGGGCAGGCACATTGAGACCATGTTTGCGTGCTAATCCAAGTTTAGCATTAACCAAGTTTAAGAGATTCACCAACTGAATGCCCCTAGGTGACAAAGCAAACTATAGCAGTCCTCAGTCTGGGGGTTCTTCTAGACTCACAACGAGCAGCAGGTGGCAGTCATGGCTAGGAGGGCCTTTGTACAGCTTTGTGTTGTGAACCAGTTGTGCCCTTTCCTGGACCATGAGGCTCTACTCAGTTACTCATCCCCTGATCACCTCCAGGGTAGTATTACTGTAATACACTCTACATGAAGCTGCCCTTGAAGAGCATCCAGAAACTAAAGCTGGTGCAGAGTGCAGCTGTGCAAATAGTTGTGTGCCCCTTGGATGGCATATGTTACAATTCTGCTGCACAAGCTGTATTGGCTACCAGTCTGCTTCCGGATGCAACTCAAGGTGCTGGTTTTGACCTTTACAGACCTACATGGTATGGGACCAGGTTATTTGAGGGACCACCTCTTCCCAATTACAGTGGTACCTCTACTTACAAACGCCCCTACTTACGAAATTTTTGAGATACGACCAGCTCCAGCCCCAAAATTTTACCTCGATGTGCGAACTTCGCCTCGAGGTACGGCCATTTTTCCACCCTGACACGTGGTCCGCGGCCATTTTTCCGTCCTGACGTGGTCTGCAGCCATTTTTCCGCCCCTGACGTGGTCCATGGGCGTTTTTCTGCCATGTGGCCCGCGGGCGTTTTGCCGCCCCGACGCACCCCTGACGTGTGGCGTGCAGGCACTTTTTCGCCCGATGTGCGGCGCGCAGGCGTTTTGCCACCCCACCGCGCGGCGCACAGGCGCTTTTCCGCCCCTGACGCGTGATCCGCGGACGCCAGAACGGG